GAGAATACAAGATTGCAGGGTGAATAATTCTAGGTGCGACACACGTGAGTACAATCAATGTCAAAATAGTTCACAGCTGTGCTCTCAGTACTTCATTATTGATCATATATCTTTAAAGACTCAGATTAAGTTATGAAATTATAATCAGAGGAGGAGAAGGTCAAGTTCACTTCTCTCTTAGGCTAGTAATTAATTATTTAGAGATGGCCTAATATATATAAGCTCATTTATGTGGTGAAATTGCCATCTTAAGTCTCAAAGCATTCGATATATATAGGAAGCGAAGGGCAGGAAGCAGATTTGCTGGTCCGATATCAACCATTCAACTAGGAACCCCACCACCTTTGTCACCTCTATTTTTGGAAATTTCCCGTGTGTGTTTTTCAAAAGCTTCAGCATTCATGTTGAAAGTAAACCATGCATCTTTAATTCTAAGTGAATCTTCTAATTTCCCAAGTAAATTGTAATTTGGTTCCCCATTTCACTGAGCATGATAAGGCCATGGAATCTTTATGATTGAGTATGCAATGTATCCGCATAAAATCAACTGTTTACCACTAATCAACCTTTATCGAAACCAAACGAGAGTGATTACGAGCAACCCCAGTACTGAAAAACAATGATATAGATGTACACTCCACAAGGGTCACTTGTTAATCACTTCCATTTAACTACTTTCCCGTTTTAATTGTTTGCAAATACAACTTGTGCATGCCGTGAGCAATTAACCCTTAATCACATAATAAAAAAGATGATTGATAGGGCAAGGATTGGCAGCAACATATGAGATTTGATTTGGCGAAAATGTTTGCTTGAGGGGAAAAGAGAACCAAAAATATAAATTGAGCTCACATGTTTTGCAAATTAATTACCTTTAGATGCCAGACGCTTTTGGTATCTTGAGAGTTCATATTCTATATATGCACACCCTAAATACAAAATTTTGTACAAGTGATATGCAGCAAGGAGAAAATTTGCATGTAGTTAAGCATATTATGAACTTTCACTGTTTTCTTTTTTAACTTTTTGCCTCCACAGCCACACAGAGAAGAACTTGCACAGAAAAGAATGAGTGAGATATTTTCTCTACTTTTGAATTGTATAGCCCCATTTCTCCACTTCGTCTTGTGGATTGGCTGAGAAAATTTACTACCTACTGAGCTCTTACTCTGCAGCAGATGTTTTTTGGCACTATAGGAAAAGCCAGGAAAGAATGTCTAGAGTCTAAACTTGGTAACTGCAAATTTACTACCTACTGAGCTCTTACTCTCCAGGAGATGTTTTTCACTTTCCAACTTCACAAACATTACAAATTTGAATGGTACAGAGGGTATAGCTGGCCTTTCGTTGTCACGACAGCTCGTGCTTCTGTCCCTTTGCATGCAATTTCCAATTTACACATTCTCCTTTCATATTTGGCTGTCAAGTGGTTATTTTGTAAGTTAGTAACAGTCTGAGATAGGGACATTTAAATTCACAATCATCTGTCATTTTATTGATAGGATTTAGTGCATACTAACACTTCTGTTATATGATCTTTCTTCTTCTATACATGTCGTTTATATGCATGGCCAGTATGATACTGACTTGACCATTAAAAGTCAAGACTAGGAAATTTTGTATGAAAAAAAAAAAAAACTAAGATTAGAAGAATGATCTACCAAAGACAAGAATTCTCAAAATAATTGAGACCACAACAACCCTTTCGTTAATTGAAAAATATATATAAAAGCACATGTTCACTAGTTGAGTTTTTTTTTTTTTGTTCTTGTACAATCGTGTAGCGCGCTGATAAATAAAGTTACAAGCTTTACCTAAAAAAGTTTAAAAAATAAATAAATCTAAAAGCAGAATTAAGCCAATATTGTTGTATACGAGAAGGGACACTGATAAAAGCCAAAAAGACTGGCTTATATGCCGTTTTTATTTGGAGCAATCTGTAAAACTGAATCCATATCTTTAAAGCATCGTAATTTGTAATGCCTCCTCTTCTTTTTCTCTTTCACTTTCTCGAAATTATTGCTTCTTGATTATGGCCTCAGGACTTGATTCCAATAGAGTTTTCTTTAACCAAGCAATTACACCAAGTTCTATACATTAACAAAATACTTTCTCAGAACCTGAAGATGCTATCGTCTTCCTCCAACGCTTATTCTTCTTGTAGTTCTGCAATGGAACCATTGACTAGATGAATAAATCAAAAGTCCACGCCTAAGATCTCTGAAGTCTGAAGTATAATTTCCCTTGAATAATGCAAGTAGCATGAGGTCGACTTTTCTTCAATAGTACAGACGTACAAGGATGAATGCTCTATCTAGTAAAGTGAATCGTGCATGGTATACTGCTTTAGTCAACACAATGATTCAGCAAAATACTGAGAACATAATGATGCTGCAAGAGCTTTATATGAGTGCAACTGTGCCTTTTTCCTTTTGGGCGAGAAGCTGATGGTTTGTGTGCTATAAAGCTTCGTTCGATAAATGGAAAACATCAAATTGACAACAAACTAGATGGGCCAAATGGTCAGGGTTGACATTGTAGCTTGTCACGTTCTATACGAGAAGCCGAGAGGGGCAAGAGCAATTGTTAAGATAAATTAATTATTTCCCAACGATGTAATAATGTTATTTGAATAAATTATAATTTGTTATAATTAATTGTACAATTCCGTAACAACTTAGTTACTGCTCATATGTATCCGTATGCATTAACTATGTCTTTATAATGAAATTATATCAACAGTTCATAATAAATTATAACTTGTTCAAAATATAAACTCTATAGATAGAGTAGAGCTTATATGTGGACGGCAAGCCCTCGAGTGTAGCTTTTATAACATCCGGCACGGAAAGAGACAGTAGCTTTCTGTTGCTCTCACTTACATTTGCTTATTTTTCATTCCTTTTTTTTGTTTTAAACCAAGAATTCTCTACTCTCTTGTTGCAAGAGAACCCAAGTAGGAGTATTTAACAACTTGCTTTAAACCAAGTATTTTCCCTTTTTTGGTAAAAGAGAAAGCCCTCCATAAAGCTCTTTCAATATCCTCCTATATAATTATACTTGTTGCAAGACCAATTGACTTTTACTTTTGCCCCTTTCCTTTTCCTCTCCACCTTTTGCCTCATAGTTATGCCTCCAACTTGCAACTCATTAGACAGACTTTAGCAGGTTTTTCCAACCCCAACGAAGAAATTAAAGAAGCTCAAAAGATTTTGTCAGGGCTACCGCCTGTCTTGATGTAAAGATGGTGGTGGGATACTATTGCATTCTGCTCTTTCATCAGAAGAGTATATAATATTATAATATATATGAGGGTTAAGGCGTGGAATTGTGGAGGGTCGATTCGGAGAAGAAAAAAAGAAAAGAAACTGCATGTTTGTCACGCCTTCTCCCCATTCACATAGCAGCATCATTGCCTTCTGATCAGTATGAGACAATCCCGTGGGCCTTCTCCACCAACAGACACAGGGATGAACTGAGGGACGGAATGATGTTTATTCCTTGTATATGAAGGATGCTAGTTGGATAGGAAACGCTGATCTTAATTCTTAAGTGGCTTTTGGGTGTGGTGTGGTGAGTAAAACTAGAAAATTCAAAGCACCATTACGTACGTTGGAATTTTGAAACTTTACAACATAACCCAGAAACTTTAAGTGCCAAAACATTTTTCTCTTTTCATTTTTGGCATTAATGTTGAAACCGTGCAAGGTACCTGGCTACAATACAAGCTTGGGAACAAAGCGTTCCAAATATTATTTTAGGGGTCAATGTGAGAGTTCGGGTATAGTTCAAGGTGCAATTTGAAGTTAACTCAAAGAATCAAGAAACAGTTTATAGCCCAACGGGAGTTTAAAGCTCCGCATAGACCAGTAGACTAGCTCCCATTAGTTAAATCAAAATATTCGTGTAGCAGGCTGGCGTTGCAACTATGGCCATTGGATCAGCCACAAAGCCTGTATTGTCTTGCTCCCAAATGCCCACAAGTGTTGGATTCCCTTGTAGCTGCCAGAATGGTCTCCTAAGTCCAAATGCAATTTTCTTGCATAGTAGGTGCTGCAGAAATAATGGGCAGTTGAAATTGGGCATCAACGGAAATGGTCAGTCCAACGAGTGACTTTCCTACTGCGAAAAATGCTTGCAGCTCCAAGTCTCATCATTTTCATTTGCATTTTCATCCACCAATTAAAAGCCCCAAACTTTCTGATAAAGGAGGGATGTCTCGAGTGGATCTTATTGTGCTAAGTACTACATACGAGAAGAATGGAAAACTGGAGAATGCAAATACAACATATCTTATTGTCTTTTCCTTGAGAAAGAAAGACCAAAAAAAAAAAAGAAGTCGAATAAAGGGATTTGAGTTTTCCAAATCATCCAGCACGAAAGACAAGAGCATTTTTCTGGAACATCTTCCATCCAAGGTAAAATGGATTTGCAGGCCAACCAGGGGAAGCTAAGTCAAATGCCCCAAAGCATGTAAAATAATTCATTATTATAATCCAATCGGTTAGCCGCAAAGCATATAAAAAAAATAATTCAGTATTACAATCCAATTAATTAGCAAGGATGTTGCTCCCCTTTTGACATGAATTTCAATTCAGTATTGTAATCCAATTAGTTATCGAACAGATATAACTTAACCAATTCAAATTAACTTGATTCTTTCAGTCTTTATTTTTCATATTTTAAAATTCAGATTTCAAAGTAAAAAAGATAACTCAGGGACATAGATGAGATTATGAAATTGCCCCCTCAGCTCTTAGTGTGTCAAAGGGTGAGTTTCGTTAATCGTTACCTTTTTAATACAAACCAAACCCTTTGGTGCTTGCTTTTGGATCTTCAATTGGCAAGCAAGGCTCATATGAGTTTTTCTTGCTCTTGTTTTTGTCGTAATCCCTTCCAAAATAGAGCATGTTAGAGATTAAAGTGTATTAAGAATCACTATTCTTTCGGCATATAGACAGACAGCAAAGGGAGCTGCTTTTATCCAACAACTACTACCATTCGCCACTATAAAATCCATTCTCATAAATTTGTTTATCACACAGTTACAACTGTATTAAGCAAGGCTCTCCCACACAATTACAATTCACCATTCTGCCACAAATTTATACATATCACAACCCCCACTTATGACTTACCCCATCTGATTTTTTTTTTTCTTTTTTCAAAGTATTTTATCAAAATTCAATCATCAAAGAAACAGTGAGAAATACCAAAATAGGTACCCAATTCTTCCATCTAGATATTCAAGATTGAGATACCCGACCCATTTTCACATCAAGTCCAGGTCCCTGGATTTCTTCTGCACCCGAAACCCCCATTCCTGGATAAGTTGTAACCATCCCAGCATTTCTAACCCCATAATACACCGGTTGATTCACCCCCTCGGTCACTATTCTTCCTGACATTGGATCCACTGCCGTGATCTGTCTCCCTCCTCCAGCGTAAACTTGACCCAAACTTGAAACCGGATGATGATTGAACCCGAGTGGTACTTGGCCCGGAGGAACCGGCATTTGCTGGACATATGGAGCCCCGATGGGTACCGGAACATTCCCAGCCCGAACTGGACCCTGGACGTAATAAAAAGGTACTGATTGCACCGTCCGACCCGGGTAATGCCACATTGGATTACTTGTATACCCCGTTTGCTGTGGAACCGCAATCTCGCCTCCTTCAACAACAACAGCCTCAACCGGAGCTTCTCTACTGGGTTCGCTACTATGAACCGGGTTAACGGGCTTGGTTTTCACCGGTGGAAGGTCCGGAATCGCTGGCACGCTGGCAGGAGCCAAGGATGAGGAAGTGGAGCAAAATGGAGAAGAAACAACCGGAGCGGGAGATCCAGGATCCGAACCCGGATGAGTCTCGCTCAAAATGCTCTTGCTCCTAAGTTTAGAGTTAGACTCACGAGGAGCATCGTCGGAAGTATCCAACCCGAACAAATAATCCGGAACTTCGGACACTATAGATGACACCTCGGACTGCCCGCGTTCCAAGCCCGGCCCGCGACCCGACCCACCATTGAGAACATCCACGAACCAATTCTCCCGCTTAATGGAGCCATCGAGAAGGGAGCTGATGGAGCTGGTTCGTGAGTCAGAATCGGACGGAAAAAGGAAAATCCGGAGGCGAGCCGACTTGTGGGTCTGAACAAGCCGATCGTACTCGTCCATCATATTTTCCACGTCTTCATCGGTGGTGACAGTTATCAGAGAATCCAAGTCTTCGTTCGGAAGCTGATACTTGATGCTGAAGTTGGACGTCCCAGAAAGTTTGGATAGTTTTGTCAAGAGGGACGAAAATGACGTGTGGCGGTTGACGGCGACGATACGGGTGTCGCCGCCCACGTAGCGCAGTTGGTTGTCGTGAGGACGGGGGAGGATTTTGCCCCCGAAGCTGCACATGAAGCGGACCCGTGGTGGCTGGGCCACGAGGTTGTCGTCGTGGACGTTGTGTTGGATTGAGCGAGGCGTAGAAGTGACGGAGTCGGTTGCGGCCGAGTCGAGGTCGGTGGCGGGGTAGTGAGAAGCCATAGCTGTATGGAAATTAGAGAGGAAAATATTGTATGAGGACGAAGGAGTATGTTAAATATATGCAGAAAGATAATGGAAGTTTTGGAGCTTCAAGAAAGAAAGTTGGGGGGGGGGGGAGGTGGTTACCGGTTAGCGTGGAATCAAAATGGCGAAGAGAGCGTGGTAAGGACAAAGGTGCATGGACGATGATGAGGCGAGGCGAATAAACACTACTACTAACTAATTAGGGGCGAAACTAACTGGGGTAACCGTCGTGTATGGGAAGTGACAATCAAATGCCAGCTTATTTTCCGTATATTTTCTTATTTTCGACTAACTAGAACTCCTCTCTCTCTCTCTCTCTCTCAAATTATTTATTACATTTCGAGATTTCAACCTTTATTTTAAGATAAAATAGTGATTTGATGATGATTTAAATTTAGTAGTATGAAGTATAGATAAATGTGAGAATAACATTAAAATTAGAAATCAAAAGTAACTTTGACTTTAACATGATCTTAAACTAAAATAGAAAGCAGAATATTTTCAATGAGACGGAACGAGTAATTTTTTTTTTTAAAGGATGACGGTGAATACATGTTTTCCTTTTGGTTTTGAGGAAAAAGAATTGATGAAAAAAGCAAATAAAGCTAAAGAGTCAGAATTAGGAGCCAAAATTATGAAACGTGCAAGGGATTAATGCTTTGCACCATATGGAATTTGTAGTAGGAGATGTTCAAACCATATTGATTTTGGGTTGTGAGATGCTTGGAGAATAGTACGCTCGAACGCCACAAAATGGATAGGGACAGGAAGAATTCCCGAATATCAATTGCGAAAGGATTTAGGTTGTGGAGATTTGTGGACGTTCTAAGTAGGATCACATATTTATTTATTTCCTGGCAGTCAAGTAGGAAACTATGATACTCTGATTTCATCATCATAGATCAATATGATGAGAATAAATCCATCGTCCCACCACTAATTTTGCAGCTTATGAAATTTTCAAGATTTTCTTTGAACGTTAGGAATTAAGCACTAGCAATTGACTCGCTGTATAGAGTAATGTCTAACTTCTATTTGGAGGACGGCTAACAACTCCGCGGGGATGATGATTGATGTGATGACCGCTCCACCCTATAATCGTTGGCGGCAATTCAAACATTATTGATTGACCATGACCATCAACACCAAATTAGCAAAAATTAAATTCACTCAGCCTTTTGCCCGTTTCTAGCTTTTATGTTGACAGAAACCTTTACAAGGAGCCTTCTAATAACCTTTTGTTCCCCTTGTAAATATGAACCAAGAGCACATAGATCCTCAGTGCCAATTTTCAGTGACAACTGTTATATTTATACCAAACATTCTATTATTTAAGTTATTGCGTGCTATTTGTTTAACTCACGTAATAAGTGGAACTGATACTAAATTTGGTATTAAATAGTGACAAAGAAGATCTCAATTGACCGCAAACTGGAAATTAACTAACCCTTTGAATATGTGTACTGAACTTCTAGATGATGACTGTTAAATTAAATCACACCGAAAACGAAAATGCAGGGTCTGCTGGTTTGAAAAAATAATTAATGGAGCCAACCGTACGTTTGGATAGAAAATTATTTCGGATAATTAATTTTTTTAAAAAAATATTATAATATTTTTTAAATATGATGTATATAAAATAAAAAATTTATAATGTAAGGAAATAGATTTGTATAAATAATAATAATGTATTTATGGTGCTTGCAAATAAATTTGCGTGAATAATTTTCACATCAGAGTCCATTTTAAAGTTTAAACTCTGTGACTTCAGAACAAGTAGGACGAGCAACTTACAGTCGTCCTCTCAAATCCTTTGAATTAGTGACTCTACAATTTACTAGTTGAACTATTTAAAGAAGATCCCAAATTTCTAGATTCTTTTTAGAACTTAAATTTCTAACCTTTTTTTTTTTTTTTTAACATTAGCAACAAAATCGATCGTCTTATTTGTGCATAAGAATATTCGCCAACTTTCGAACTCTCGTGGTCTATGCACACCACACATAAAGTTAAAAGAATATATTGATCAAGGACCATGACAAACTGACAAATGACAATAACAAATTAACCCACCACATTAGACAGCAATATCTGCCCAAAAAAAAAAAAAAACAAACAAAAATTGTCATCATCTCTGTCCATTTCACTTTGGTTAATCAAGAATCAGCATATCAAATAAATGGCACCGCAGGAAGTTCTTTAGTTGATGAAAGAGTCTTGAATGAGAACCCTTTTCTCGTTTCTTCTCAAATTAATGTTCGATTCTAGATAAAAGGATCTATTCTAACCCCTACTGATCAATAACCAGTCGTAGCCCAGCAAAGAAGAAAAGAATGAATTTAAAACTTATCGAATCAATCAATCATAGTTGCCCACTTCTATAATTTCCAATAAAGAATTAAAACGCAAATCTTCAGTTATCAAGAAATCATGTGAATGAGACTCTTGATTCAGCCGCAAACAAGCAAAAAGCCTGTTCTCAGCTGAATTACAACATACTACACGATTAAGCATACTTCGGCTTCATGCATGTCACTTTAAGGACGATAAATATATGATAGAAACCATGAAACGGGAAACCTCAGCGTATTCGAAGATCAGTTTAAGCATGGACGAAAGCGATGAATCAAATTCAACTCAACGAGTAGGGTTGGAGAGCAACTTACTCGATTAAACAGTGATCGCTCGAGCCCTTTTCTTCAACGAATCTTCCCAACCTCTGCAACTCTGCCGGGAGCCGGGCCGGACGAGGAACCGGAGGAGACAGCAGGAATTGAGAAGATATGTATATATATAGGGAGTTAGTTAGATTCGGACTTGTAATTTATTTATCTTGGACAAGTTTAGGCCTTGTTTGGATTGCCGGTTTCTGTCGAAAAATTATGTCGTTTTCCGTGATCACATTTTCCTATTACCTTTTTCCCTCACATATATCAAATCGCTACAGTAATTTTTCCATGAAAAATCACGAAAAATGCAATCCAAACACAACCTTAGTTTGGGAGTGCAGGAGGAGGAGGCTGGAAATTGGAGTGTAGAGTCTATAAAGTGGTGGGCCCAAGAAATGGTTAGAAACAGAGCTGGATGTGGGTCCCTCCCTGTGTCCAAATTGACGCTGTTTCTTATCGACGTGGCACCCAATTATTGCATGTCTCCAACTGAAGGCCAGCGTTGCCCTGGCGGTGCCCGAGATCTCATCATCCCATTTTTGCAATCTGCAATAAGTCCAAAATGGGTCCTATTCCTTCCCATCGGGGACTTTGCAAAAGGCTAAATGGGGCGGTTTCTACATTTTTCCCCAAAATAAAAGGAAAAAAAGAAAAAGAAAAAGGTGCTTTTAATTAACAAAATACATACAGGGGAAAGAAGAAAAGAACGAATGGTCACTGGGGCACAGCACACCACAAAATGTATTTGATCACGGGAGTGGAAGCATGAACTACTGTTGTCAAATTCCGGTTGGATAGAGGCGATCAGGAAAAAACCAACTAACCATATTAAAGGGCACGAATTCATCTTGAATTCTTGATCCATGATGAAATAAATAACTAGTAGTAAAATTTATTTGCATCCTTTCATCTCTCACAAATGTGATGTTGGCTGTAGCTTTTCGGTGCAATAACAGCCCCAGATTGGGGGATGGGTATGGGTTAGTCTCCTCAATGTCAATAATCCAAATCCTTATACTATATATAAGAATGAGTTGTGATTAAAGGGGATTTGAATTTCAAGTGCATTGATAGGGGCCTTTTGGAAATGTGGAATATTGTGTAGTTTTTTAAAAATTTTTAGTATAACTGAGAACAGCATGTGTTTAAATATATTTATCGAAATATCTTTATTTTGATACATTTAAAGTTTTGATTTGTGGAGACATCTGAATATTTTTGGAATATGGAATTATTTTGCAACCGTTTTTGCATCGAGTACAATTCATATAAACTTATGTGTCGATCTAATTACTGAAATGATATTATAGACATATTTAATTAAAGTGTGGCTTCTGTTGTGCAATTAACATAAAGACATATTAACACGTTGTGCAATTAACACGTTACTATAACTAATTGTTTGAGGATATTCCTTTGTCCGAAACAAATTATGTTTACTCTTGGACGACTTTTAACTGATATCTGTGGGGGCCTTTTGGGAATGGTAAAATTGTAAAAGTATTGATAAAATAAAGTGTACAAATATGTGCTATAATTAGAATATATTATTATTAGATTTATCATATTTAATGACTATTTCTTTCTCGTGCGTGCTATTATTTGTTCAAGTAAAAAGTTTCTTTAACCAGGGACACGAAACACCCGTGTGAGCACTCTCCTAGCAATGCAAAGAAAAAGGTGTTAAGCAAGAGGGAGAAAAACGTTGACTCTTGAGGAAACTAACCCATACATTAGATCATGAGGTATCTTGATTCATGAAAAGACTAAACCCAGCCAACAATAACCCAACCTGATGATAACCACTTTCTACCCTGAAATAAAAGCTGCCCAATATTCCACACCAAGACTAGAAATTAATATGTACCAATATTGAATGTTAAAAATTTTTATAGTCTTTAACCACTGGGGATATGTTCCGGCAAATAGGTCTGATAATTTCAGCATATTTTTTTCCATCATTATATGAGCATCAAACATGACATGGCAGTCACTTCTATTTGATTCACTACAGGATCATATCTATTAGTCGTACTCTTTGAGACTATGTTGCCCTTTGCTTTTAACAGTCTTTATCAATGTATTATGCCAGAATGAGCAAAGTTGCGTATGAGTGCTTTCTTTTCTTAGTTAGAATTATGCATCAAAAAGTGATAAAAGCTACTTTTTTTTTCCTTTTGCTTGATTAAAGTTGCTACCGGATACGATCCAACAAAAACAAATACTTGTAAAAGTAAAAGTTACCACTCAATGCCTTCTCAGATTGAAAATCAAGAACTGACACTAGCGGCATGATTAGTCTTCCATTTTACTAGCAGAGTGCTCTCTCAATTATGTATTGACTTTCTTGTATATATCGTGATAATTTCCGAGTTTGTATCAAGCAGAATATTCACAATGAGACAATTGAAATATCTTTTGAACGAAGAAGATACCCTTAACATGGCAAAACTGGTTGTAGTCTGGATTCCATGTACTCCTAGGGGTTGTCAAACGTTCACAGCAGGCTATAATTGGTCACCTATTACCCTCAACCCAAGCTATTGCAACCACCAATGATTTGATTAGGATATTTGTGAGAATATGTATATGGAGTTAATTTAGCTTAATCGTTGTTTTTCTTTAATTTTTATAGCAAAAGAGGAGTAAGATTTAAAAAGTGTAAGGGGAAGGAAAATTTGAACCCAAAATCTTTAATTCATAGAGTTTTAATCTTGATTACTAGACTAAGGTCTTGTTTGATAATTCAATTCAGCACTTAAATTTAATGGATTCAAATTTGAGAATGTTTAGATGCGCTTTATAACGAAACATTGAACTTTTGAATTAATTAAGTGACACTGAATTTTTTAGGCAAAATTTGTTCTAAAAAATGTGATACACTTATCATTTAATGTGATACATGTACACTCAAAATGTATCACATTTAGTACCTAACAATTTAATAACAGAATAAATTCAGATTTCAGATATCAATTTCAGTTTTGTCAAACGTACCCTAAAACCTTCTCGACTAGCTTAATCATTATTAAGATGCTCTAAGCACTTATTTAAATGTGTATGTGCTCGCTTACACTCCACAAGGAATTAACTATTGTCATACAAGAAACTATTTCTTGTGGCATATAGGGAGCTGCGACTTCAGCGCAACATTATCCAGATTTTAATTAGAAAAAAGAAACCATTCAGCGCAACATTATCCAGATTTTAATTAGAAAAAAGAAACCATTATACTTTTAAAATTTGTTACGGAGAAAGAGGCGGAATTCTCAATTATTGAGGGCAGTTATGCATTATATTTTCCAACGTCTAATCTGTACCTAAAAGTGTTACCAGCGGATGGACACAGGATCTTTGCTTCTTTCTTGATACATTAATCCCATCTGATCAATCATGCCAACTTGGATTTGCTTCATATACATGGATACATATGTATGTTGGTACTCATGAAATCACTCAGATCTAGGTATAATCGAAAATAATAGACTAATGATATCAAAACTATTTATATAAATATGTAGAAATTTTTCATACTTAACCAGATTTAAGGCTTAATTTTGGGCTATAATTTCTGTGATATGAGGTTCCGTTGGCATCTTTACAATAATAAAACCCGTGTATCGTTTTCAAATTTACTCTTATTTCCATTATTCATTAACTCTTACTTCTATTATCCATTAACCTTTTATCTCTATTATCAACTGACACACAGATCTACTGAAGCAAAATTATCTCCCTCCCATTCTCACGTAACGGTTCTTTTACTTCCAATTGTACATATTTTCTGTACAATACACTTGCACTATTTTTGTGACTCTTTCAATTAAAAATAATTTTTGACAAATTGCACACGCATCGAATGTGTTTCAATAGCTAGTTTCCTACAGACGGGGAAGAATTTGTGAGACTGCTGCTACGTGAAACTATAGTAGTGGTTGGAAGGTCATCATCACATTGTTCTGAAATTAAGTTAGGACTTTGAGTGGATAAATGTTAAAAGGCCTTCATTTTCATGCCCGGTTTTGGTCGGTGACAATCCCTATCAAGAAAATGACCTCAAGCAGCCGAAGACACGGCTCCAGCAATAAAGACGAACAACTAGACCAAAGCAAACAAACGTTCGAGGAAAATTTGTAGGACCAAGAAATCAACTTAAGGACTAAGGTTGTTAACCAAATTTCCTTGCATTATTTGCAATTTTCAATCATGCACATCTTGTGGGGGTCAAGCAATACTAGTGGATCTCGGACACCAAAGAATTAATAGTTCATTATTTTATGCTTGCTTTTTTTATTTTTATCTTTATGGTAGTTTTGAGTTTGAATTTCGATTCGATTACACTTAAAGATGAAAAGGAAAACCCTTTTTAAGCTCTCGGTTGCTAGCTATTCTAAGCTGGACCTAGCTTGGTTGCCATTATTTCTATCACTTCGAAGCAAAGCAAGGGCAAGAAGGCGAGGTTGAGAATCGCAGAGAAGCTCATGAACCAATCAATGCTCTTTGTGAACTTACATGTAGTTCAGATTGAATAATGTTCCTAAGTATTTGACAGGACAAAAGATGAGTGAATTTAAAATAGATTTCATCCTCAAATACCTCCCTCTAATGTTATTTTAGTAGTAAATTACCCTCTGTGTTCACGAATTACACAAAATATCCCCTCTAAATTATGAAAAGATAGCCATGCCCTTATACACTTTTTTTTGACAGTTTTAACCTTTTAACACAAAAAAAAAACCTAAATTTCTATATAAAATTTAACATTTTGGCTCCAAAATGATGTACTACTTTTTCATTTACAGAAAAACTGTTATATCAACAGAGGTAAAGTTTCACGAATGATTAAGTTAAATGTCAAAAATAGCTTATAGTTTTTTGGGTTAAAAAAATAAAGCATCTAGTTTTAATCTTAACAAAAATTGTCTATTTCTTCCTCATACTCGAAACTCAAGAAAAAACATGAAAATTCATTGAAAAAAAAAATAAAACTCAAAATTTACAAAATATTAAAATTTTAACTGGAAAATGTTTCTTTTAGTTTTTCCTTCTCTTTCCTTCTTTTTTTCCCTTTACGTCTCCAAAAAAAAAAACTATAAGCTGTTTTTGGCATCTAACTGTATCGTTCATAAGGTTCTATCCCTATTAATACATAAATTCTTCGTAA